GTTGAGGCTTTAGCTTACATATTTACCCAAAGGAATTTTTCAACAGACATTTCCGTACCACAGCACTGACTTACAGTAAAGTGCACATATCACTTAAGTGGCAAATACCAGGACAGGTTGCCTAAAGTGCACATCACACGCTAAACTAGACGAAACTTTAAAAAGACTTTAGGTGAGCAATGTTGGTGGGCAATCCTGTTGCCTGGGCACTTTCCCATTGAAAATGGGCAATACATTTCTATCTGGATAATTTAGATTGGTCGTGGGCCCTGTGTTTTTAGAAAAAAATGCTCAAATTTCCCTGTGTATCACCACCCTTAGTGTAAATCTCTTGATTGGTTTTTTATTTGTTGCAACATTTCAGAATTTGAATATGCAAAAAAATGCATTTGGCTTTAAATTAACCAATCAAAATATAAACAAAAATTAGACAAAACAAATTGGAGCACATTTAGTTACTTCAACTGTTGACTAAACAAAAATCACCACAACATCTGGTGTTCAGTCTCTTTAAAGAGAAACAATATACAAACATAGAAAAAAATTTCACACAACAACAATCACTTCTAAGCAAAAATGAACACCACTTGACCTATATCTAGATGGATTTCAGCCTTTTTTAAGAAGCCCAACCTTTCAAAAAGGAGTTAAAACAGAAGTCAACCCTACCAAGCAGCAGGACTTGAAGAAGCAGTTTGGGCTGAACTGACTAAGTCGAACCTGAAGTGCAGCATTTCTGTTTAACGAAACCTGTCCATTAATAGTAAGTCGGAGGAACAATCAAAATGTGGAGAGCATCATTACACATACTTGCAAATGTGTGGGAGAACTAAAAACAAATTCACACATTTACGAGGAGTACAAAATTGAAAATACTTAGCTCTCACTAATAAAAAAATAACTGTAAAATGCAAATTAATACACTGATGAGATAGAAAAGTTATTAATAATGCGAGAAACCCTCCAATTTTCACAATTGTCATTGTTTTTTTGTTGATGTATTTCATAGTTTATGTTACTATATGTTTTATAATACGTTTAATACGTTATATGACAAATTTGACCATAAAGACCAGATGAAAAATGTATATTTTTATTAAAAACAACTTTTACAAAAAAAGTTTTAAACCAAACTGTAAACTGCTATTAGTTTTTGTTTATATATTCTTAAAAGTGTCACAAAGCCAGCTTCAGACACCAAAAAGAGTCAAAATTATCTCTTAAAACCATTGAAGGGTTAAAATCGAAACCTTTAAACTTTATTTGGGCGGGAAGATCACTCAACGTCACTGCTTTACCTGAGGTAAACTGATCGTTTTTTAAATTATTATTATTGGCATAAAATGATTTTTTTTTTTTAATACTACAAAAAAATAATTATATCATAAACAATATATTACAGACATTAAGCCCCATACCATACAAAAATATGAAAATTATATAAATCGGTGTTGATAAACCAGTTGGCTGCCATATGAAGAGTGCCTGAAGGCACTTTCCACAGAAATCAGTTTAACTGAAATCATTAACATTTCAAATATTGTATAAAATAGATTCAATGTAAAAACAATATATTATGAAAATATTTAAATAGTTTGCTAAACCCACAAAATATTTTTCTTGCCAATAGTGTCATTTGTTTTCATTTTACGTTATGAAATAAAAACATATTTACAAGAAAATCTTGTAAACAAATAACATAACATTGTATATGCATATATTTCTCCACTCTTAAAACATTTATCAGTGTTAACCTCACTAAATGTTAAATCTTAGTAACACTTCTTGAGCCTGTCAAGTGAAACAAACACAGTTAGCTAACGTTACACTTACCTGATAACGCAGAAAAAAGGGCGAACGATCTCTCCAAACACTTCTGTCGTTTCTCTCTGACAATTTTCTGGAACAACAAAACCTCGTTGCTTATTTTGAAATACAAGTGTTTGGAAAATCCTGCCACCAGAGTAAATAAGAGCCTGTGCAAACGAGCATGACATTTTCGCCTCAACTTCTACGTGCAACAATGGAAGCGTTAGTTGGAATAATGTTTCTAACTTAAAAGTCTAATTCTGAGGCAAAAGTTCCCGGTTACCACACTAAAACGGCTTCCTCGCTCTCACACACGCACAATTACAGCATATCCACACGGAATCGTGTCCCTCATCCCACCCAACGCAGGGAGTTCCGAGGAAAAATGCGAAATATGACAAAGATCTGAAAACTTCGCTAGTGAAAAACGCGATCAGACAAAGGGAACGAGTGAATCTAAAACTCACCTTTATTAGGAAACACCTCTACCGAAAGAACAGGACGAGGTTTATGTCTTTAAAGTTATATTTATCTTGGTGCTCTATTGTTTTCAGTTATATTTCTCCCGGTTTGACAGTAAAGGTGGAATGCGAAGTATGGGTTTGGTATGAAATTCACGCACTTCAGTGGAAAACGAAGGAGGGAAAAAAACTTTAAGGAGGGGCCACTGTTGAGCGTCAATCAACACGGCTGGGGGCGGGGATTTCTCCAGACGCCACGCCCACTTAGGGGGCCACATGAAGAAAAGCTGTTCTTGAGCTACTGTACTGTACAAAACCAAGTTTAGATTAATGCAATGACTTTTTTTCGGTGGGTAGATCATATGAAATGTATTTAATATGGACGGTTGTGTAAAATCCTTAGAAAACTCTATCTTACAATCCATGTTTTTCTTTAAGACTGATCAAGTCAGTCACATGAAAAGGTAGATTTACTGTAGTCTAATATGAATCTGAAGATAAATAACTAACTAGTTATCAGTCAGACTAGTATGTTTATGCAACTGGCCCCTGGTCCTAATTATTTATTTCATGTGAAATGCAAGAATAATCTTGACAAAAAAATATTCCTTAAATTGTACTTTTATCACCAACATAGGTTATTTTATTATTGCACATTTTTCTAAAATATTCAAACAACTAATTTGTTACTGTATTCATAAATTAAATAAATACAAGTTAACTAATTCAGTATTTTTCTTTTGTAGATATAAAAGATACATGTTTTGGATTTCATTGCAACAGGAATGTTTCTCCTTTGAAATATTTTTCTGAATGTATATTTTTAGATTTGTTCCTCAACATGTTAATGAACCGATGATGATCTTTGTTATCTTTGCAGGTCAAATACAGCATGGTTCCCGAACCCATTTTAGAACCCTCTGCATCATCATCATCATCATCATCATTGTCCAGGAATTCTAATAGAATCCATGCAACATTCCAGAGCGATGAGTGTGAACTGTGAAACCTCTTCACCACAACCACCGTCTCCGGGGAGCAGAACAGTCAAACTCAGTGATGTAATATCCTGGAAGGAAGCCTGAGATTATAATGCATATGCTGCTTTAACATGCATCTCGACAGGCATAGAGCTCCGTCTGTAGGTCAAAACTGAGACATGTGAGTAAACAGTCCAATGTAAAGATCAGCTAAGAAAAGTTAACATTTTACAAAGGTTACAAAAAGCAACAGGGACCAGATGAGGAAGTAGTTGAAACTCTTACAGCAACTCTAAGTGGTGGTAAACTTTTCTCAGATCTACAAGTTTGGACAACCAACCCAGCAAGCTGTGACAGATCCACTGGTCTGGCCCGAGGCTGACAGTTTAAAGAGTGTAATATCACAGCTAAAGCTGAGCTGAAGTGACTTTCATTTGTTGTGCATTTCATTCATTCGGCCCCATGCAATAATCTTCAACATGTACATTTTTCACTTTACAAGCGCTTTAGAAAGGCATTTACAGTCTCACTCTAAAAAAAGCTGGGTTGTTTCAACCCAAATTTGGGTCAAATATGGACAAACCCAAATGTTGGGTTAAAAATATAATTAAAAAATGTACAGTTGAAAGTGAAAGTTGAAGTTGGGTTAAAATTTGAAATTAAATTTTTAACCCAACATTTGGGTTTGTCCATATTTGACCCAAATTTGGGTTAAAACAACCCAGCATTGTTTAGAGTGTATATATCTAATATGTGTTACTGTTCACCCTAAAAAATGCTGGGTTGTTTCAACCCAAATTTGGGTCAAAAATGGACAAACCCAAATGTTGGGTTAAAAATTTAATTAAAAAATGTACAGTTGAAAGTGAAAGTTGAAGTTGGGTTAAAATTTGAAATTAAATTTTTAACCCAACATTTGGGTTTGTCCATATTTGACCCAAATTTGGGTTAAAACAACCCAGCATTGTTTAGAGTGTATATATCTAATATGTGTTACTGTTCACCCTAAAAAATGCTGGGTTGTTTCAACCCAAATTTGGGTCAAAAATGGACAAACCCAAATGTTGGGTTAAAAATGTAATAAAAAAATGTACAGTTGAAAGTGAAAGTTGAAGTTGGGTTAAAATTTGAAATTAAATTTTTAACCCAACATTTGGGTTTGTCCATATTTGACCCAAATTTGGGTTAAAACAACCCAGCATTGTTTAGAGTGTATATATCTAATATGCGTTACTGTTCACCCTAAAAAATGCTGGGTTGTTTCAACCCAAATTTGGGTCAAATATGGACAAACCCAAATGTTGGTTTAAAAATGTAATTAAAAAATGTACAGTTGAAAGTGAAAGTTGAAGTTGGGTTAAAATTTGAAATTAAATTTTTAACCCAACATTTGGATTTGTCCATATTTGACCCAAATATGGGTTAAAACAACCCAGCATTGTTTAGAGTAGTGCAATATAAATCAGCATTCACAATCCACTGGATATTTTTAAATTTGTAAGTTTACTATTATTGCCATGGCATTATTAAATTAACATTAGGCAGCATTAAAAGCCTAAAACAAATGTCAAAATGGATAAATGCCAATTAGTTAACATCAATAAAGCTGCTTAGGTGGCATCAAGTGGAAAAAGTAAGTGGCTGCAAAGAAAGAAGCATTGAATTGCACAAAAATACCATAAAGTTTTACACATAATTAACTTTTCAAACACACCTATAAAATAAATTCTTAAACGAAGCACATTTTTACAAACACTTTTATTTTATTTCACAGTTGCATTTTCCTTAAAAACAAAAGAACATGTCTAATTTACCTTTGTCTGCATGCATTAAGACAGTTATGGGTTTTTATCAAATGCATCCTATGTTACAGAAGGAATCATAAACTATAATGACATGTAAAAGGCAAAACAAAATAAAAGAAACACCAAACAATGGGTTTTCGCATCTGTATCAGGTGATCATGGACTTATTTCAGCAATGACACATATTATTCCAGATAATGTTTGTCTGAGTAAGCAAAAAACTGCATGAGTGGTTGAGATGTTTGACATTCTCCACGCATCAGTCATGCCAATGATATTGCATGTGCAAAAATCTGAAATGTACAATCAGCTGATAAATCTGGACCTTCAGCTTTCGGCACACTTGCACAGACACATCTTTCTTGGACATGCATTTTTACACAGTTACACACACACACAAATGTAGCACAACTGCCAATAAAACACAATAAAAAACTGCTTTTTACTGCTGTTTTTAACCCGGTTTGCTAATATTAAAATACAACCAAAAAACTGTTTCTTTTCCCCCCTTTTTACGCGCAGACCACGTCTAATGTGACCTCCTCACCACCAGGGGTCATTTGCATCTTTCACACCCTCAAATCAAACATCATAAAAGGAGGCACTCCCTCCGTTCTCCAGTACACCCACTGTACATTCGATTTCAGCCCATAGAAGAGGTTATGACCAACAGATGCATGTAAAATCATGCAACCCCACAAGCAATGGTGCTTTATTTTGACAGATTTATGGGCTGTGGAGAATTGAGCCGATGCTGAGAACGTTTCCCATGTGACAACATCACAGAAAGACACCCGCAGGAAACGTGACGCTGCTACTCGCAGGCGATCTTGCCATCAAAGCTGGAGAGGGCGATGGCAAAGGCTTGTACGGCACACAGAGGATAGCTGTAGTCCAGAGTGAAAGCGTCATCTGCAACTCTCCCAAACTGCATCACAATGTAGTCCACTGAAATATATGTCAATTTATATTTACTTAGACAACATATTAATACTTCCATTATTTATAAATCCTTCTGCACAGTGTTTATTGGGCACTTTGTATGTACACTGTAAAAATGCTGGGTTATATTTCAATACAAATTTGGATCAAATATTGACAAATCCAGTAAGTTAACATTTTAAATGAAATTTTTAACCCAAAGTTTGGGTTTGTCCATATTTTACCCAAAATTGGGTTAAAACAACCTAGCATTTTTTAGAGAAAAGCATGCAATATGGAACAATAGCTACATTTTTCAAATAACAGTAACATTTAAATGTAAAAAGGGATTAAAAAATGCTAAATAACCTTGAGATGCAACACACTGAATTTAACATGCACAATTCTAAAGTGCTGCATCTCAAAATACATTTAGCATTTTTTAATCCATTTTTACATTTAAATGTCTTAACTTTTATTTATTTAACATTTAAATGTTAACTTTTCCCAGTTCAATCAAACAGTAAGTCAAGAAAGAGATTAAAAAATTGCTGTTGATATTATTTCTGGTACATTTGTCACATTGGAAATGGACGATGAAGTCCAAGTGCATTGCATTGTGGGATACAGTATATTGCATTAACTAATTTGGCTTTAAATAGTACTAAAACCTAATTAATAAATTATAAACAATTATATAATCAAATAAATTATTTAATTAAATAAAAATAATAAATATAAATAATAAAATATAAATATATAAATCACTAAATAGAAATTTAAAAAGCAAACTAATAAAAATGGCAAAAGCACAACAAAAGTACTGAAAATTAAACTAAAAAAAATTCCATTCCATTTCCATTTAAAATATTAATAAATTCTAAAAAATAGTATATAAGAATCCTAAAATAACACTTCAGGTTATCTAAGAAAAAAATGCTGGGTTGTTTCAACCCAAATTTGGATCAAATATTGACAAATCCAGTAATTGGGTTAACATTTTAGATGAAATTTTTAACCCAAAGTTTGGGTTTGTCCATATTTTAGAGTGTACTATTATAAAAAAAACAGTAAAAAAGCATGAAATATGAAACAATACATTTTTCAAATAATAGTAACATTTAAATGTAAAAATGGATTAAAAATGCAAAATAATCGTGTGTATTTTGAAATACATTTTTTAATCCATTTTTACATTTACATTTTTACAACTTTTCCCAGTTCAGTCAAACAGTAAGTCAAGAAAGAGATTAAAAAATTGCTGTTGATATTATTTCTGGTACATTTGTCACATTGGAAATGGACGTTGAAGTCAAGTGCATTGCATTGTGGGATACAGTATATTGCATTAACTAATTTGGCTTTAAATAGTTGAAGTACTACAACCTAAATAATAAATTATATACAATTATATAATCAAATAAATTATTTAATTAAATAAAAATAATAAATAATCACTAAATAGAAATTTAAAAAGCAAACTAATAAAATGGCAAAAGCACAACAAAAGTACTGAAAATAAAACAAAACAAAAAATCCATTTTAAATATAAATAAATACTAAAATAGTATATAAGAATCTTAAAATAACACTTCAGGTTATACACTCTAAAAAAATGCTGGGTTGTTTCAACCCAAATTTGGGTCAAATATGGACAAACCCAAATGTTGGGTAATTAAAAAATGTACAGTTGAAATTGAGTTAAAATTTTAAATTACATTTTTAACCCAACATTTGGGTTTGTCCATATTTTACCCAATTTTGGGTTAAAACGACCCAGCAAAATTAGTAGTATTTGAGACTGGTTCATTCAAACATGATCTATTAGTGAAGTCGATCAACACAGCTCTATCTGAGAGACTTACGGTCTTTGTTATGCACTATCTGGAAGTTTTTGATGGAGGCCTGTGTGACTCTGCCGTTGAAGTTTAACACATGTGACGCCGTATCTTCATTCCACACTGGCGTCTTATTGCGCAGCTCTATCAAGTTTTCCATATTTCTGTTTTGATGTCTCATGAGGAGGCCATTATTGTCCTGTTGGGAAGCAGTATTTTTAGTTGTCACTTTAAATGGTTGTGTGTGTGTGTATGTTTGTATACATTTGTGATTTACTTACACTACGTGGTCGTATGGGGACTCGTTCACCATCTTTGGTCATGCCAGGAATAATTATAATCATTCGTCTCGGCCCTTTCATGCCCAAAACATTTGTTTCCTAAAGTCACAATATAATATCAAATTAATATTATGAAATATCACTGATATTGTTTCATTGATTAGTACTTCAACCAAAACTACAGCAGTATTGTAATGTTGCCGTACATAGATAATGGCTGCCAATTCCTGCCGAGCGTTAGACATGTCCGGCAGAGCACGGTCCGGATGCAGTGCATTATCGAACACCGTGAACTTAGTTCCCATCAGATTTGACCTGAAATACAAATGGATATAACCTTTAAATCAACGAGACTGTGTCATAGACCTACAAAAAGTATCATATACAGAGCAGCTATATTGGTAATGGTCCAAACCCACGTACCTCAGCTTCCCAACGAAGTTTTCTCCTCCTCTGGAGAGGTCGGTGGGGTCTATGGAGATCAAGTAGTTTGAGGTTGTGCTTTTTTTCCTCTTCCTTCCCGCTAACAAAAACACCTGGATGTAAAATGGACAAAAAAAAAGACGAATAGGAATTCATATTACTCCCATTTGCAAAGCTAAAATTAGTAAAAAAAATAATAATATTGGACCATATATTGGGGTAAGATTTTCTTAGTCTTTTGAAAGAAATGAATCATTTTATTTAGCAACGACACATTAAATTCATCAAAAGTGACATTAAAGACATTTATAGATTTAGAGTGATTTCTGAAGGATCATGTGACACTGAAGACTGGAGTAATGATGCTGACAATTCAGCTTTGATCACAGAAATAAAAATTATATTTTAGAATATAGATCCAGTTATTTTCAATTGTTAAAATGTTTCACAATATTAGGGCTTTTACTATATTTTCGATCAAATAAATGCAGCCTTGGTGAGCAGAAGAGACATATTTCCAACAAATCTTACTGACCACAATGGTTGTATAAAAACTCTCGGGTTCTATATATGAAGCGCATGACGGAACCCTTAAGTTCTATATATGAAGTGCCTGATGGAACCCTAAGGTTCTATATATGAAGCGCATGACGGAACCCTTAAGTTCTATAAATGAAGCGCCCAACGGAACCCTAAGTTCTATATATGAAGCGCCCAACGGAACCCTTAAGTTCTATATATGAAGTGCCTGATGGAACCCTAAGGTTCTATATATGAAGCGCATGACGGAACCCTTAAGTTCTATAAATGAAGCGCCCAACGGAACCCTAAAGTTCTATATATGAAGTGCCTGAAGGAACTCTAAAGTTCTATATATGAAGTGCCCAACGGAACCCTAAAGTTCTATATATGAAGTGCCTGATGGAACCCTAAGGTTCTATATATGAAGCGCATGACGGAACCCTAAGGTTCTATATGTGAAGCGCATGACGGAACCCTACGGTTCTATATATGAAGCGCCCAACGGAACCCTAAAGTTCTATATATGAAGCACCCAACGGAACCCTAAAGTTCTATATATGAAGCGCATGACGGAACCCTACGGTTCTATATATGAAGCGCCCAACGGAACCCTAAAGTTCTATATATGAAGCACCCAACGGAACCCTAAAGTTCTATATATGAAGTGCCTGATGGAACCCTAAAGTTCTATATATGAAGCGCATGACGGAACCCTACGGTTCTATATATGAAGCGCCCAACGGAACCCTAAAGTTCTATATATGAAGTGCCTGATGGAACCCTAAAGTTCTATATATGAAGCGCATGACGGAACCCTACGGTTCTATATATGAAGCGCCCAACGGAACCCTAAGGTTCTATATATGAAGTGCCTGATGGAACCCTAAGGTTCTATATATGAAGCGCATGACGGAACCCTATGGTTCTATATATGAAGCGCCCAACGGAACCCTAAAGTTCTATATATGAAGTGCCTAATGGAACCCTAAAGTTCTATATATGAAGCGCCTGATGGAACCCTAAGGTTCTATATATGAAGTGCCCAACAGAACCCTAAAGTTCTATATATGAAGTGCCCAACAGAACCCTAAGGTTCTATATATGAAGCACCTGACAGAACCCTAAGGTTCTATATATGAAGCGCCTGATGGAACCCTAAGGTTCTATATAAGAAGTGCCCAACAGAACCCTTAAGTTCTATATATTAAGTGCCCAACAGAACCCTAAGGTTCTATATATGAAGTGCCAGACGTAAACCTAAGGTTCTATATATGAAGCGCCTGATGGAACCCTAAGGTTCTATATATGAAGCGCCCAACGGAACCCAAAAGTTCTATATATGAAGCGCCCAACGGAACACTAAGGTTCTATATATGAAGCGTCCAACGGAACCCTAAAGTTCTATATATGAAGCGCCCAACGGAACCCTAAAGTTCTATATATGAAGCGTCCAACGGAACCCTAAAGTTCTATATATGAAGCGTCCAACGGAACCCTAAAGTTCTATATATGAAGCACCTGATGGAACCTTTTCTTCTAAGACTGTCTATGTTTCCCACACATCCATCATGACTGAGCTTATGTTCATTATGTTCCAACAGCCTGAGAGACTCTGGAGAAATACAAACATTACAGTGGATGTCATACTTTCTTCTCATTGTCCAGGTGCAGGTAGTAAGTCGGGTAAAGGCCTCGGTCCATCCCTCTCTTGTCCCGGGTCACTTTGCACTTTACCGTGACGCCTTGTTGAGCGGGTTGAAGTACAAACTCTTCCAGATTGTCAAACTCGATGACAGGAGAAGGTGCTCGCTCCTCCTTCACAGGAGTAAAAGAGGTAAGCATACAAAATATCCCACATTAAATTGATAATAGAGTGAGAATAATGTGGAATACAGTGAATTTACCTTTTTGCCTTTTTTCCCTTTGCCCTTTTTCTTTTTTTGCGTCACTTCTGAATCAGAGTCTTCAGTCTCGTCTGCTTTAGCGGGATCTGACGATGAGAAACGTATATTTATATATATATAAATATATAATAGTTAATATTCAATTTCTTCACAATGACATGCTATAACCCTCAATATGGTTCTTTAATTGTAGCTCTCTAAAAAAATACAAAATGTCACCATATTGGAATAAAACAGTTTGTTCTTCATTGAGAATTTACTTATTTGTGAAGTATTTATGATGATACGATTTTGTGTAATCATTAAAAAAATATATATAAAATAACAAATAATAAAATAAAAATAATATAGTAACATTTCACATAATAATAATAATAATATATTTTATTTGTAACGCACTTTACATCAAATTAATGACCTCAAAGTGCTACAACATAAAAAACAGAAACATTAAAAAAAAAAAAAAAAAATAAAACAAAATAAATGAAATAAAAACACTGTTAGCCATAAAAGGCTTTTCTAAAAAGATGGGTTTTAAGACCTTTTTTAAAAGAGTCCACAGTCTGATATATATAATATGAAATGTTTTTTTTTTAGAATATAAGCTTTTATATCTTTTTATCAAATTGTGCATACTATAATGGTTTAAGAAAAGAACTTACTTTTGGTCTTTTTTGTCTTTTTGTCCTTGTCTTTGTCCCCTCCGGTCTGAAACATGGACGATGGGTTTGAGCTGCTCTTCTTCTTCGTCTTGCTGCTTTTGGTTTCTGGTTCGCTCTCATCTTCACTCTCAGATTTGGCAGCTTTATAATCCAAAAGATAAGCGAACATATACATTATTGCGAATAGTCAAGCAGACATGCGTGTAGAAAAGCTCTCAGAACACTACCTTTCTTTTTACTCTTGGTTTCAGGCTTGTCTCCATTTATCTGAAACATGGAGGCCGGCTCCTTTTTCTTGGCTTTAGATTTCCCTTTACTGTCTGCGTCCTCTTTCATGTCAAGAAATAAATAAACAGATCCAAAAATCAATCTAGTTAGCAAGTATTGCTGAAAGTAACGTTGGAGCTCATAATAGTTGTCACTCATTTGAGAAGAGGACACCTTTTGATTTGGACTTCTTGTCTTTTTCCTTGTCTTTTAATTTTCCATCAGAACTTTCTTTTGAAGTCTTTTTCTTTGTCTTCTTCTGAGGAGTGGTCTCTCCATCATCCTCTTCATCATCGTCGTCATCTTCTGTAGAACCTGTTTTGCGATAAACACATTGAAAAAAGATTGGTACACTTATCAAATGTCACGCCACCATCCTGTAGAAGAGAGAAGACATTGCTTAGTATTACAGTTGTTTCTCCAAGACAGTCGCATTGATCCCTGAGAAACAAACTCCAATCATCTTCACAGTTTCAACTGATGTTTCCATATGAGCTTGAGATAATATTAATGTCTGAAATCAATATGAGATCAAATTCTTTCAATCTGACATGATACCCATTCATAACTATACAATTTTTTTTAATTAATCTCAGTAATTGTCTTATAGTTTTAGAAAAAAATATTGAGACCTCAATAAAACAGAATTTGTGAGAGGTCACGTCGGTGTTGTTATTCATACTTGCGGTCACGTGACTATTATATGGATACCTGGCGGGAAATCAAACGCTGACAAAATGGCGACATACACTAGTCAGCCAGGGGAATTACAGCCTTGAAAATTTCCAATACTACAATGTCACTGTCGTAATGTTAAAATTAGATATCAAGAAAAAAATTAACATACTCGAAGTCTCTACCAGAGTTTGGAGATATTTACATATCTCATAGAGAATCCGTCACTTTACACCGCACAAAAAATGAAAGCCGACAAAAGTACAGCTAGATCTGTTTTTCAAGAGTGGACAACGCTGTCGGTAAAAAGGGAATATCTTCACAATCAAAGCAAGGTCCGTTTGCTTATGTTTGCAGCTATAACGTTACACGTTTTGTATATTAAAACTGGCGACGTCCATCCTGGCAAGATCCTTGACTAGTTTACTGGGTTTCGTTGCTCGAGAACGACGTTTTTTTTTTTTTTTTAGAAAACTTGCACATTTTTATTTTGTGAATGTGAAATTTGACTAATAAAATTAACAAATGAATTACAAAAGCCCCCTTAATCACACTGTTATCATACTTTAAATATCCAAAAATTACATTCTCAAGATGCTAAATTAAAAAGTAGGCTACCTCATACTCATAATCTTTTCACATGACTACAATGACATGGCAGAAAATATGTTGTACTGTTTCCAAGAGCAACTCGCAACAATGTCTTTACTATTATATATTCCATTCCTGGATGAATCAGCTTTTTTTAAAATGAATCTCTTGAATGAACGATTGAATGACAAATATATTATTTAAGAGTCACTTGTCGCCACCCACTGGGGTAACGATGTAATGATACAATCTTTATTTGAAGAGTCACGTTTCTTTCCAATGTTTGATCACTAACCATTGACATCAGTGTTTACATCTAAACTAATTTTAACTTGACATTGAAGATGATGTCTTAAAATTAGAGATGTCGCCTTGGCAAGTTGAAGTAGCCTACTAAAATGACTAAACCTGAAATACAAATAAAGCTAAATAGAAATGTACACAAAACAATACGACAAAGCAAATAAAAAATGAAAATACAAACATAAAAGCAAAATAAAATATTAATAACTATAATAGTATTTCATTACACATGGGTCACTTACTCTTCTTCTTCTTTGGGGCACTTTTCGCTTTCTTTTTGGATTCTTTCTCCTTCTCTGTTGATTCTTTTTCCTTCTCTACTTTCTTCTTCTTCACCTTCTCTCCATCTGTGAGGGAGGTTTGTGAGAATTGAGTAAACAGACTGACAGAAGCACAGTTCTGTCATGACAACTCTTGGAGTGTTTGGTATGTTGATGGATATGACGATGTTTATATGTTTGGTCTTGGCGTAATAGGTCTGCTTCGCTGTTGTTTCTGTTATTGCTGTTGCTCAAGTACAAGACATGCAACTGCCAATACACACACGACACACTGCTGTGAGCAAGTAAGACTAGGGTGACCAACTGTTTTCATATAACAATATAACCATTTTCTATCCATACAGAGGAGGCATAACCTACTTTAAATGTATTGAAATTAATAAGGTATCTTTGAGTAAACTTCGAGTATCATTTGAGCAGGCCCATCTGTTTGCCGGGCCGAGTGTCCTGGTTTTTGGTAATCAAAATATGGTCACCCGAAGTAAGACATGCTGATGCATACATGAATTATCAGCAGCAGTGGCGTGCACAGACGTCCAAAATGGGCACTAATTTATTTTATTTTATTTTTAATTATTTCTGAAATAATTAAAAATTATTTTAATTTTTAATTATTTCAGATGCTGTCCTTAGCATTCTATAAAAATATGTTAATACAATTAGAATGCATAACACATCAAATGAAAATAGGGAAATTATGATAGTATTACTAAATATTGTTTACTTTACCAAACAAAACAGCGAGAATCAAGAAGGCAATTATAGAAAATTCATTTTTAGTTTTGTTGATGTTGTAAATTTAATGTATGTTTTATATGCAGAGCCGGACAGTTACTTGAGTATTTACATTTATTCATTTAACTGACGCTTTTATCCAAAGCAAGGTCAAAGGTTGATGCACGAGTTGCCAAGATGAGATAACCAATGACCTTTTCAAAATGGCGGAGGGTCGTATGTACTGATCTAGAACGTTCAATAATAATAATATATATATATATATATATATATATATTAGGCCTGTGCAAAAATTAATTGCGATTAATCGCATCCAAAATAAAAGTCTGTGTTTACATAATATATTTGTGTGTGCTGTATATTTTGTATATAGAAATACACACACATGCATGTATACATTTAAGAAAATGTGTTATTCATATATAAAATATTTATATTTATATAATATAGATTTTGTATTTATATATATATATATAAATATAGAATTTAAGTGCAAATAATTCTTAAATATATACATGCATGCATATGTATTTATATATATATATAAAAAAAATTATATACAGCACACACAAATATATTATGTAAACACAGACTTTTATTTTGGATGCGATTAATCGCAAATAATTTTTGCACAGCCCTAATATACATATATATATATATACAGCATATTATTTACCGTTTGAGTTTTGATAAATTGTCTTGCCGTAACACGACAACAAAAGCACTTGAAGGCAACACAATAGACTGGTAAGTAACCAGTTCACAAGTGGAAAATATCTCTTTTTTTTCCCATAGCACGTGGACGCACCGAGAGAATGATGTGATTGCAAGCAGTTTGAGTTAAGCACCAATCAGCTGGCGCCATCTAGAGTGTGTCATGACAGAACTGAGTAGCCTATGATGTGAGATTCAGGACTGGACTGGGGCGTACTCTGAGTGGCCGGGCTGCTCTCGGCCGACAGGTCTGCACTCTTCTTGCTCTTCGGCTTTTTGGGTTTGGCTTCGCTCCCGTTGGTCTCTACTGGAGTGGACTCGGGCTTCTTCTTTTTGGGCTTCTGTAATATTCTGATGTGCGCAGTCATAAAATGACATTATTGTAAATGGTTGGAGAGATTAAGAATTAAGCATGTTCATGTAGCTGACACTTCTAACCAAAGCGACTTACAAATGAGGAATACATCAAGAAATTCATCCAAGCTAATGCTAAGTGTCAGATATCATTCAGAATAGGAGCTACAAGCTAAAACAGGGAGGAATAGCAATAGAAAATTAGAGAACTCACCAGTAATGATGCATGGGAAAGCAAGAAATAAGAAGAGAACAACATTCTGTACATCTATTTAAGTTATTCAGAAGCATCTTATTCTTCATCTGCACACTTGGATTTATGTAACTTGGTTATAGTTTATTTGGTGTTCAATGGATCGTTCCTCAACCAGAGGTCCCAGGCTCAAATCTTTCATTTTTGTTAATATTTTTCTCTAAACTTAAATAGTAATTAATGCTAAGGTGCTAATTAATGCTATTTACCTAAATATTAAATGCCATGGATGGATGAATATTTACTGAGTTATCCACTATTTTGTGGGGTGGGTCAAATGACAATTTTCACCAAAAATTAAAAGCCAAATTACAGGTGGGCGAAAGATGGCAGTATTTTTATTTTATTTTTACACAGAGGTCTGTGACAGTTGACAGGTGACAGTTCAACAATGTGGAGAAGCACTTTTAGTTTTTGTTTTTTTTCCTATAGCCTATATATGTGTGTAACTAAAAAAAAGTAGCAAAGATATCTTGATATGTTTCTGGATTCTGGGTATGTTCATTTGTACGGCAGAGATGTGGGGTAAATTGTTAAACACATTTTCAGTGGTCAAAAGCCAAAAATTCTACAACATACTTTTATTTCTCTTTTAAAGAACAATCTCTGAAGAACAAATAACATTGAAACTAGAAATTTATCAAAATAATTGTCAAAAATTAGTATGAGTGTCAAAAATATTATTTTTCCAGTGTTTGTTTGACTGTAACTCAAAAATTCTGGTTCTTAATAAATCTTTATATATATATATTATATATATATATATATATATATATATTAGGGCTGTGCAAAAGTTAATTGCGATTAATCGCATCCAAAATAAAAGTCTGTGTTTACATATATATTTGTGTGTGCTGTATATAATTATTTTGTATATATAAATACACACACATGCATGTATATGTTTAAGAAAATGTGTTATTCCTGTATAAAATATTTATATTTATATAATATAGATTATGTATTTATATATATATACAGAATTTAAGAGCAAATAATTCTTAAATATATGCATGCATGCATAGGTATTTATATATACAAAATAATGATATACAGCACACACAAATATATTATGTAAAACAGACTTTTATTTTGGATGCGATTAATCGCAATTAACTTTTGCACAGCCCTAATATATATATATATATATATATATATATATATATATATATATATATATATATCTTCATTTTAAGACTATATGGTTTATATATATAAAAAAAGATATAATACTTCTAGATTTACAGGCATGCAAACTTTGCAGGAAAGCAGGAAAAGAGCTTTTTCCCATTTTTGAACTGTTACCATATAATGCAACAAGGATTGCTGAAGACAAAGGAATTGAATAATAGACCTACCAATCTATGTATAAAAATAAAATAATAAAGCTGCCATCTTTCTAAAGTCATTTTCACCCACCTGTAATTTGGCTCCAAATCTCCGGTGAAAATGGTCATTTTGACCCACTCCCAGTAAATATTCATTTAATATTTTGGCTTTCATCATTACTAATCATGTGTGTCTAGAGCAAAATCAAGCAGGGAGTTTCCGAAACTTGGTTGATTTGACACAGAAATTGCTAAATTGTCATGCTTGAAATGTGCTGACGGATATGTCTGATGCGGATGAAGTTATACAGCACTGATAAAAGATGTTTAGTCAATTATTTACATCAAATGTAAAGGAACATAAACAGAAAAATTTGGGAGAAAAATCTGGAGCACACAAATGCATTTCAGAACAGCATCCAAAAACACTTGAAGTTTTATTTATGCATTACTTATGTAGATAATAATCACTTATGATGCACATTGATATTTGTAATGTGTTTTAAATGCATAATCTATTGATAGCAGTGATCTGATGCATAACAACATTATGCAACTTGTTGAACGAAGGTGACAATTATTGAAATGCATCATATATCTATGCATCATTTTTCAGGATGTCTTCATACGTGTAATTTAAAAATATCTACGCATATTTTAACCCTCGTAAATGACAAAAAGAATGAGATATTCAATGTGGCCTGTGCTGAGTGTAGTTAGTGTGTGTGTGTGTGTGTTTGTGATCCACTTAAGACCCAGCCAGAATAAGGCTATTAATACCATCACCTCAGTCAATCCCTGTCATGAGGTGTGGAGGAAAACACGAACCCTAATTCAATCATGTTTCCATTAAATTAACAGCAAATTCTATACATTTCACCAAAGACGTTTTTTGAAATCAGTCACAAATTAGGCTAATTACTTAAAACACAACCTCTGTGGTCAACAACTAATCTCTAATATCTGTGCTGTCTAAATGTACTCAAGTTGGGTTTGTAGGTCACACACTGAATGAGACATTCAAATATTTCCATTTATAATTCTATAATTTCAAAAAAATATCTTTTAAGCTCTGAACGCAGGAGCTAAAGTTTTTAAACGTATATCACCGTATAAATAGCATCTGCAAAGTCTAATATTTCTTAGCTATTTTAAAAAGAAATACTAATAATATTTATGCAAATGTAATTATGTTAAATATTAGTGAAATTCATGGGCACGTGTGTGTGTGTGTGTGAAATCACTGATCTTTCCTGAAAAACTAGAACTGACCTCACCAAAACTCACTGATTTAGACATATGACATAACCAGATAATGACAGTAATATTATTATAATAATAATTATTAATGTTAAAAAATATACAGTTCTGATAAAAGATGTAGAACAAAATAATTCAGATAATCTCCAAATGTCCTTTAATTAATCAACATTTAGATTCAAAAAATAATATGCCTAGGCTCATAACTACATCATGCAATCAGTGTATTAAAACAAACGTACCTTTTCCGCAGACATGTCCGTATCCTGAATGTGTGTCCACTAAAGGCCGAAAGTGTGGAGCTTGAACCTCCATCAGCAGAAAGTTGCTAAGAGGATTTTCGCACTGACCCCATCTGTCACACACACACACACACACACGACAGACGGGAACCACGTGGAGATCTTTGGGCGTGCTGTAAAAAAAATGATATGGTCAGTTACGACAACATATGTTTTTACATTGCTTTAACTCATCAAAGTTAAACACATTTATACAAGATGACAATGACTTAAACGTTCAAGTTGATTGTACTTACAAAATTAAGTGGGAATGTTCTGATCATTAATAAAAACGTCTCTCTTTTTTTATTATTAAACGTAAAGAGCATTACAATCAAAGTAGCATAAAATTAAGATAAAAATAATAAAAACGTCTCATTATGGAAAAGTGCCGAAGTTACGACGTCACTCTGTAGGCCAAAACGCGGAAGTGAGTTAGCATTTTAGCACTACGGTTCCCTCGCTCTAAAGCCTATGGGATTTATGAATGGGTTTTTGCTAAATGGCCTGAAATAAGGTCTGTGGTGAACAAAGCCTCTAAATATTTTCACGTTTTGATCTATGACATAGAACACACAGTTATAACCTGCTTGTAGTTTTTTAAACTTTATTGTGTCTGATTGTGTTTTTTAAAATCTTTATATAAGCTTCAAAATGTTTAAATTTTGGATTATCTTGACAAAACGTGTAAGAGTCACAACCCTTTGTTAAACACAGATCTTATTTTTTGCGATTTTCCAAAAGTCTATGGGGAAAATGCATTTTTTTTTTTCGACCGAGGGAATCCATGCGCCGCTAGCTTCCGAGTTGTCCTACAAAGTGACGTCATCACTTCGTAAATCCCTGGTCAGAGCCTGACTCCACCCACTGGCAATATTTGAAGATGCTGAAAAAGTGGGCTGACCCCAGCGGAGATAAGGGAGGACGAAATAGATGCTAAAACACTCTATCCTGATCGTTTTCAATACTCACAATTCCAATTCCTGACTCCCTACAGTGGTTTTGACGACACACGATGGTTTTTATACTGCCAAGGGTCACGAAGTGCGGAACATCCAATAAGAAAATTCAACTGCAGTAGCCACCGTTCAACCTGAAGAGGGCAGCACTAAGACGATTTTACACCATATATTGTAGAAATAGAACACTTTATAAACAAATGTCAAAAAAGTTACTCGAATCAATGACTGGTATTAATAAAGATCCATTCTTACAGATCATTAACCAAAAGTGTTTAGTTACTCTTTTTTTATGTAATAAAAAAGAACATGTTTTTACATTATTTGAACTCATCAAATTAAGTTCATCCATTTTAATTTTTTTGTTATGGACTCAACTCATTTTTTTAAAGTCAGTTCAATAATTTAAGTAAAAAATAAATAAATTACAGTGCATATTTATGCAAATTTTACACATCTTGTTATTTTAAAAGTTTGCATGGGGGTTAAGTCATAAATATTTTCTTGTTTGGTGGATTAAAAATGGATGTACAGTATTATTGACCGTGGGAAATCAGTGGGCCACCAGAGAAAGCCTAAAAATCACTAACAATTCAATCTAGGATGGGAAACGAACACCAGAAACATCTGTTCTCTGACCAGCGCTGGAGGGGAACATAAAGAAACGACATGAATAGAGTGTGTGTGTGTGTGTGTGTGTGTGTCGGGAGCTCTGCTTTAGTGCTCTTCATCTCTTCTGAGTTGCGTTGCCATGACAACGTCTCGGCTAACAATGAGTCCCATTGGGTTGTGTGTGTTTATCACCATCATCCTGTAACTGGATGAGGATGATAGAAATATAAGAGACTGCATGTTCACTTTTTGCATTGGGACATTATTTTTCTCCATTAAAAACACTCATATGTGCACTCTCAGAAAACAAAGTACATAATATTACATACATATTAGACCGCGCTCAGATGTTGATGGACTGGTTTGATCTGAGATTGATGAGAGATGATGTGTGACGTATAGAAGGTCGTGACCCTGCAGATCAGCAGCACACACTGTTATTGTGCAACTTTATAAAAGTTCATGCATGTGAATTTTGCTGGAAATCAAACCTATGATCTTGGCATCGCTAGATGGTGCACATATAAAAAAGTATATATATGTATGTGTATATATATACAGTGCACTGAAAAAAATAATATGCTTTATCTAATCAATAAAATTGTGGCAACATATTACAAGCAATATTATTAATTAAATTGTACAAATTAGAATTAATTAGAATGTTAATTTGATTAACTATTACTCAATTCTAATTTGTTGAGTTTAATACAGTAAATAATATTGCAATCTGTTGCCAGAATTGTATTGATTAGATAAAGCATATTCATTTTTACAGTGTACACTATACACACACACACACACACACACACACACACACACTTGACGAGTCTCAGCCGAGGGAAGCTCTTTCTCTGTGTTGTGGATGGGTTTTAATAGTGTGTATTAGGCTGATCTGTTCACTGATTTGACAGATTACACTGTGAGAACTCAAACACACGACAAATCTGTCGCAGTGTTTGGTTGTTCCCTGGGTTAAACACTAGAGGTCCTCAGTTTTCACGGTGTCTATGCATTCTCACTACAATTCCCATGATCCTGTCAGTCGCTGATTGTTCATTGCCTTACAGCTGTTTTTCGACAACCTGTTAGCGCTTGTGTGTGTGTGTGTGTGTGTGTGTATATATATATAGTGTTTGTCTTTTATGTTTTTGGATTGCATTTTTGGATTTTGGACTTTTGCCTGGACTGGTTGTGAGTATGGATTACCCCTTAATAAATATTGCTATTTCTTACGTTTCCTGGGTGTGTGTATCGTGACACATGATGTATGACTTGGTCCGATTTCACCATAACTCACCCTATTAACTCTCTCAACGCTGTTAAAATGGATCCACAAATTAAATATACAGATTTTATTCTGGTTCCAAATAATAAATAAAAACTTGCCTTGGTTATATTTCTAAACCTTTATATGTTTATTCTTGCTCAAACCGGCACTTTTTTAAAAACAATAGGGAATATATGATGTTTCCTTGTTTATTCCTATTTTTCCTGTTCCACTATATTCAACTCTATTTTTTGAACAAATTCTCAATTTGTGATCAATCTTTGTGATAAAATCCCTCTTATTCAAGCTAACGGCTTAGGCGGGTTTAATGTGTTCAATATCTGAACTGTGGTGTAAATCCAGCTTTTAATGTTGTCTATGTGGTGTTATTAATATGTAAGTTGATAAGTGGACAGCATTGCTGAGTATTTCCTCCTTAAAACTGCAGCGAACCAAAGACAGTCTCAAAAACACGCTTTGGTGTTTCTGACGTCACAAACCACCTTGTAACCAATCAGATCAATGTGTGATCGTCAACCAGTGGATTTCTGAGTGAGGGAGTGGAGGCGGGGCTCATTTGCATAGGGTGAATTGCCCTAATGTGTTATATGACATCATGTAACCAAAACTTTAAATCCACACCAAATACAATTTTAAAAACCCCGGTATGTGTCCCAATCAAATCAAAAGAGAAAATTCAGATAATCCATTCATGAGAGAAATTATATTAGCGCTCTTATAGCAAGTTGTCTGAGAAAATCTGCAGCTTCCTAATGTGGGACACTGAAAAATCTATGATAAAATACCAAAAATCACATTGATACATGTAGAATAGTGAAATCCTAATTTATTTTAGATTCTCTCTTAAATCTAAGTTAGCAATTTTCTTTGTTATGAATGAATGAAACATGTAAAATAACAAAATCTTTAGTTATATTATCCATTTCCAGTAAACCAGAATCACAATCCATAACAAAACCATTGTATCAGTTATAGTGATGCATTTGTAAAACACCTAAAAAATAAACAGATACACTTTAGACCAAAAATAATTTGGTATAATTACAACTATAAAAAAATAAAATGTAGCCTACAATTGTCTCTGTTTCCTCTTTACCAAAACAGCATAATTGATAAACCCCTTCTTTAGTACTAAAAAAATCATTACATGGATAATATGTATTTATTATTTTAAAGTGAGTTTCTTTGACTTTTTTATTAGGAATGACATTTTTATTAATATCTGACCACAGATTCTGAAAAAAGGTCATGAAAAACCTGTTTCCATTTCGTGAAACATTTTTTTCTTTGGTTAAGATTTGTCTAATAAACATTACTCATATAAATGTTTAAAACATGCCCCATTTATGACTCATTGAAGAACTGTCCCACATTAGGCTGATCATACTGTCCCGGATTTGGAAACCACATTTCCTAATGTGTGACACTAAAGGACATTTGATAAAAATATCAAATATACACATAAAGTTACACTATTTTTTTTTTTTTGATGGACAAACATTTCATAAGGCTAAAACGTAGCAGGATTGCTTTGTTTAAAATCTATTTAACTCCTTAACATAAAATTTGCTAACCTTCAGATGGTCTTCACACAAGGTGTCTCCTGTTTCATGATTGCTCCATCCTCGACTGGACATGTCGCTTTGTCTAACCCTTAGTTTCACTGTTATTCATGTATTTATGGGGGACCTATAGGTGTCCAATGGGTGCAAGGATGTGGAGTTACATTCAAGCTATTTGTTAGCTATGGACATATTTGTCATAATAAGAGCACATTCAAGGTCACCAATATTCAACATAATGTATGAAGTTTTTTTTCCAAAGAAAACACTTTTAAATGTGTAATTTTAGTGATCAGAGATCAGTTTTAAGGGATAAAATGATTGACTACAGGGGGACTAACATAAAAACTGAAAAGGTCTTAATTTGACAGTCAGTTGTGAGTTTAGATGAGGAAATCATGAATCTATGGGATGTAGAAAAGTGTGTGTGCGCGCGCGTGCGTGTGTGAGAGTAGAGAGAGAGAGAGTGAGGGAGAGACTGCAGATCGTCTTCGCATCGCTATTGGCTTCTTGTTCCTCAGCGCGCGCACCTCTCGCGCGCAGTGATGCTCGCACCTGTCCCGACCCGCATCATCAGCATCAGGACCATCAGCAGCAGCGGATCTCCATGACGACAGCGCTTCCAGCATGGTGCAGAAATCCCGCAACGGCGGCGTGTTTCCCGATGACGCCCCGCCGGCCGAGAAGAAGCTGAAGGTGGGCTTTGTGGGGCTGGACGCGGGCGCGACGGACTCGAGCCGAGACGGCGCGTTGCTGATCGCGGGCGCGGACGCGTCAAAGCGCGGCAGTATCTTGAGCAAACAGAGATCCAGCATCTCCGGGAAGAGGCCGCCGAAGCGCAACGCGTTCTACCGACGCCTGCAGAATTTCCTCTACAATGTTCTGGAGAGACCGCGCGGATGGGCGTTCATTTACCACGCTTACGTGTGAGTCTCTGCACCTTTAAGTGTTCTGAGTGTTCCTTCTGCTGATGGCCATCAAAACAAAGCGCTTCTCAAACCTGTCAGTCAGTCAGATTCCCTTCACGCGCTTGGCGAGGTGTGTGTTTACACGATTGGAGAACAGTTTCAAACAAAGCTTCTGGAGCCAGATCTAACGTTACCCCACAAAAAAAAAAAAAAAACCTGTAATAGATAGGCTAGATAGTTATTATCGATTCTGAATGCGGCTTGCGGAATGTTTGTCGGGATTGTTCTATTAATACATGATGTTGTTTAAAGCTTTGTTTATGTGAATATCTGCACCTTTGCTGATGGCCATCAAATCAAAGAGCTTCTCAAACCTGTCAGCTTCTCTTCACGATCTCTTTACTATCCAGTTCTTTCATTTATTCATTATTATAGCAATGCAGAACGTGTTGTGCTTCACAATCAGTACACTCTCAGAAAAAAAGGTACAAAAGCTGTCACTGGGGCTGTACCTTTTCAAAAGGTAAACTTTTGTCCATTTTAGGTGCTAATATGTACTTTTCAGGTGCTAATAAGTACATTTTAAGTGTTAATATGCACATTTTAGGTGCTAATATGTCCATTTCATGAGCTAATATGTCCATTTTAGGTGGTAAAATGTACATTTCAGGTGCTAATAAGTACATTTTAAGTGTTAATATGCACATTTTAGGTGCTAATATGTCCATTTCATGAGCTAATATGTCCATTTTAAGTGTTAATATGCACATTTTAGGTGCTATTATGTCCATTTCATGAGCTAATATGTCCATTTTAGGTGGTAATATGTACATTTCAGGTGCTAATAAGTACATTTTAAGTGTTAATATGCACATTTTAGGTGCTAATATGTCCATTTCATGAGCTAATATGTCCATTTTAGGTGTTAATATGTACATTTTAGGTGTTAATATGTCCATTTCATGAGCTAATATGTCCATTTTAGGTGCTAATATGTCCATTTCATGAGCTAAAATGTCCATTTTATGTGTTAATATGTACATTTTAGGTGCTAATAGGCTATGTACCACTAAGGTACCAATATGCAGGCTTTGGGTACAAAAGTGTACCTTTTAAAAAGGTACAGCCCCAGTGACAGCTTTTGTACCTTTTTTTCTGAGAGTGTACATAAAGATAACAAATACACACTGAAACCCCTCGTGAGTGTTCTCACATACATAGATGTGATTTTAGCCTAAATCTAATAGAGACGGGAGATCTTTGCAGAGTTTTGGACGCTCTCACACATCAATAAATCGCCCTTATGTTTATATATTTTGCGTTGCTGACACACAGAAGATGCGGATTCTCTGATCTCAAGGATCTGGGCGAGTGTGTGTGTGTGTATGTGGACCACATGTTGGACATGTATAACAGTGCCTGATTGAAGAGCTTTAAAAACTAGTTAATCTTACATGATTATAGAAGAGGTGTTATCATCTTTTTTAATATTAATATTCAGTCATGGACCCAGATCTGCCCAAAAAACCCTTTAGTGTTGATTCTGAATGTGGCTTGTTGGAAAAGCGCTTCATGTTGAATATGTTTGGCAGGATTGTTGTAGTTGAATTCATAATCATATTTGCATAAGTGAATCTGATTATCTGCTGATTAACTGTTTTCTGCTGCACTTTTGATTTGATTTTCAGCCATTTCCTTCTTGTTGCTGCATGATTATATATTTCTAAAGCCTTTTTAATAGTTTGAGTTTCATAGGCTGATATAATAATGATCTTGCTTGTGTTGTGCATCTCATACAGATGTTTCTATTGATCAGGTTTGGTTATATCGCTCTGAAAGCTTGCTTTTAATAGTAATTCGACCAGAGAATTGTTCTCAAATTATGTTCAGGTTGAAGATTCGTGTTACAAGCCAAAGAAACCCAATCTGATGCTGTTTAGAGGCACATCTTCTGCTTGTAAGATCTTCAGTTTCAGTGTTCCTCGTCCTCGTCTTGGCCAGAGCTCACGTGAACCGGGATTTTCAATGGTAATTCAAAGCGCTTTACATATAGAACAAATTAAAAATAATCAAAAGAAATACAGTTTGGAATAAAAAAGAAAGTAAAATACAGCCGGACGAACTGTTTAGTTTATATTCAGTGAGTATCTGCACTATATTGCATGATTTATATACCAGTAATAATACTTTAAAATCAATTCTAACTGGGAGCCAGTGTAAAGACCTGTTTGTGTTCATATGCTCAGAATGACCTCATTCATCATCACAAGCTGAATTACAGTAGTCTGCGATCATCAAAACACACGCGCACTGTTTCATCAACAGCGATCACATCTGATCCGTTTATATGCATCGAATTCCCCTCATCAGCGCAGTTATACAGTCAAACCAGCATTATTCACACACCCTCAACATCTCACACATCACAGTTTAGAAAATGGTGATCAAATATGAAGAGTTATGAAATGAGTGGATATTTGACTGGTTTTTTTTTCCGTCCTTCACTCTTAGAAGAAAAGGTTCTATATAGAACCTTAAAAGCTACGTATTTGGAACCCCTAAAATATTCTATACACTCTTAAAAAAAGGGTTCCTCTGGGTTCTATATAGAACCCTGGGGTTCCATACTTGGCCAATAGAACCTTTTACCAAAAAAAAAAAAAAAATGGTTCTATATAGAACCCTGGGGTTCCATACTTGGCCAATAGAACATTTTACCCAAAAAAATGCTTCTATATAGAACCATTTTGGAGTTCCATATATGAAGCGGGGGATGGAACCATTTCTGGTTCTAAATGGAACCATTTCTTCTAAGAGTGTTCTGTTGGACTCTCACACATGAATTATGTTGAATATCTGTTAAATTGAACCACACAATTAGATAATACCAGTTTAGCTCAACCAGTGACCAAGCAATGCTTCATGTTGTTCAGTGTGTGTGTAAAAGAGCATTAGCGATTACAGAAAACATGATCAGCTCAAAGTGGAGGAATCATTTCTGGCCCCAAATTTGTATAATTTTCTCTCTATGAACTATATTTGTGTATAATATGCCACCGTTTATTTTGCTCTCCTCACTTACATCAGTGAACTACAGTGAAACGATGTGTAATGATATCTGGAGTGTGGATGAGTGTAGATGGTGTGTGTTGTGGTGTGTCAGCCGCAGATGTTGCTCACAGCGACCGGTGTCTTCACAGCGGTGTGATAATCTCATCCATTCATTACAGCCAACACACGGACAGCTCCCGATACACACATCATCATCCTGAGACACACAACCATCCAAATGAATTTTCACTATAGTCACTGACTTTCATTCATTTTTCATTGAATTACGATTGAGCTCTACACTACAATTCAATTCTTCCTAGTAAAGATGCGAGCGTAGAGCTCTCTAACTGAATTATTACTAATAAAAACACACACTAAAGATATGCATAATTAATTACAGAGATCTGTCATTGAGGCAGAGAGCTCTGCAAATGCTTTCTTTATAGAGAGAACTGATCTAGAGAACTCTTTACAGTTTTTTCCAATTGCTAACACACAATTTTGCAAACTAGTCTGTTTTTTTTAAAATACAAAACCACACACCCAAACTGCAAAATACCTCATATATCCTGCAAAATGAAGCACTGCAACCGAAACTACACATAGCATTATCAAAATCAAACTTTTGCATGAACTCGCACACACTTCATTCATATTACCAGATTTTTGTCTAAACAACTCAACTACACACTGTTGTGCATAATGAAAAGCACTCATATCTTTAGTATGCTTTGCCAGAATACTAAAATATGTCTCAGATTGTTCACATGCACAGAAATATTTGCAGACACACACATGCTGTTGAAACTATAATGTATTTTTTCAAGTCACAGCAGAAATATTTACATAAAATTACTTAGAAAAAACAGTAAACTGAAAAAGAAACTTCCAGAAAATATATTACAGTAAAAAAAGTGGCAAGAAAAATAATTGTTTATAGTTTTTATAGTGCTTACATCCTGATTGAAGTGTTAACAATTAACCATTGAGGTGTTTGGCCAGATGGCACATGTAATTGGCCAATTAGTGTCATTTAGAAATGGCAAACATGTGCCTTGTCTTTATGTCAGATTGTTGTGTCTTACGCAGTGTTTGGTAAGTTACTCTAAAAAAGTCATTAATTACTAGTTACTAATTACCTCTTCAACAATGTAATTAGATTACTGTACGAATTACTCTCTCTAAAAAGTATTTAATTACTTTTAATTACTTTCAAAATCCCACATCAATCTCAACCAGCTGAATAATACAACCATAGACGTGAATCTGTTTTAATTCTTTCAAATAAATACTATAAAATGTTTTCATACATATTTTACAATAATTCATCGGTCATAATATTTAGGCGCCTCATAAAACGCATGCGAATCGCTGTGAGATCGGATTGATCTATTTACCTCAATTACATCAGAAGTAACTGTAATTAAATTACACATAAATGAAGAGTAATCCCTTACTTTATATTTTCAAGGGAAAAGTAATTAAATTACAGTAACTAATTAGTTACACCCAACACTGGTCTAAAATGTGTTTAGACTTTTGGAAACTTGAGAAGAAGTTTTGCTCTCTGTGTGTTCGTTTAAAGAATTGTGCTGTTCATGTCATTTTAGTGTGTTAACAATCGGAAAAAAACTGTAATATAAGAACTAAATTGTAGAGCTCTCGGTTGAATTCTTACTAGTAGAAATGCAAATACGACTTGCCGTTCAGATTTATCTTTATTTTTCTCCCCATATTTCCTCTCTTCCTTCCTATCGGATGTTGATTCTCTGTGTCTGCTTTACTCTTTATCCTAATTATGTTGCATTGAACAGTGGACTGATTAGTCGCCGTTATCACTGGATTATATCTCGTAAGTAATAAAATTAGCAGTTGTGTGGGTGTAGATACGGGATTACTCAATGCTTTCTGTCGGTGTCCGTCATCATCATCTCAGTTTTATTTAAAGCACTGTTTGTGTTAAA